TTGAACTTGACCCAATTCCAAAGAAGTTCCAGATATCGCTTGTTCAAAGAGGACTTGACCGGCACCAGGAAAGATGAACGGCGACTATCCAAACTTTCACCAACTGTTTGAATCCGCCAGATCTGTTTCCATCGTCAGAAACTGTCAATCACGTCTCATAAACCGTTAATGCCCAGCTCTCGCTACGCTCGGGCCCACGCTGTTCCTTGAAGTTTTCAGAAACGCTTAGTTATAACGGACGAAAAAACCAAAACACCGATTGGTCGCTTGAGAATTCTTTATTGTTACACCAACATATAAAAAGAATAACTGAACTAAGGTCTGTGAACAAACATTACAATAATAAATCATAGTATTACTTCTGACGATGTTTCACTCTTCTTTCTGAACAGCGACCGATGAGACGATGACTGTCGTATTGATGCCTCCGCGAAAATTGGGGAAGTTGATTTTGAGCAAACAACCAAGAATTGATCGTTCAATCTTCAACTCCATTGACACCGTCATTGTAATTGATCAGCATGTAACCCACCTGTCATCGGAAGCTGGTGCTAAACCTGAGCTGATAGTAAAAGACAGCAGTTGTGTTGGTCCTGCTGTTAGACAACATTCTGAAAGGCGTGCAACAACAGCTATTGATCCACCGCTAAATTCATCAACTGGAAACAATCAGTCGTGGTAGATACAGTCATCGACAATGAAATAGACGCCATCAACCCAAGTATCTTGTCCAGTGACTATGCTAGTATCAGTTCATTTGAAAGGACGAATATCAATGGTCAGTTTAGTGAGAATAAGCCAAGTGTAAACGAGAGAGTAATTGTTAAATTCATGAATAGAGGCATTTCTAGTTTCAAGTTACTAATTGAATGCTATTATCTTTGGTGTAAATTACTCTGTGCCTACGCTTGGTTATGCAGATACGTCGTGTATTTGTTCGTCATCTATATTCTACGATACAATGACATGGGCGTGTTGCCGTTCAGATTTGAGGATTTAGCTCATAGAAGGAAGTCAGCAAATGAACTCTTCGACGATTTTCCAACCTAGAGCGTCAACCTGAGAAGGGTTGTAGGCGTACTGCTGTAAGTCCTACAATTCTTCAAAGGGTAGTGCATCAGTGTGCAGTCCAATGTGCTTGGTGTGTGATTTTGTACATATGTTCATATTGTATATACTGAATTGATATCATCTGTCATCTAGCTGTTGGTAATTCTGTTTGTGTCCGGACGATTTCCACTTGTATCATCAACCTGAGAAGGAATGTAGGCGTACTGGTGTAAGTCCTACAGTTCTTCAAGGGTAGTTTGTCATGCCGGAATCCACAACATTTGATGTAGTGATTGTACATATGTTTGTGTTAAATAGTTGTGTGAGTTCCAATTATCGCAATTGTTGGTTAATCTTGTTTGTGTCTGGACATTCCACAACTTACAATCGTCAATCTGTGAAGGTTTGTAGGCGTATTGGTGTTAGCCCTGCGATTCTACAGAGGAATTCCAACAAGACATGATCGGCGAGGTTGTGTGTACTGTTTGTATATACGTGTGGTGTGTCATATCAATTGGTGGTGTTTCGGATTCATTGTGTTTACTCGTTGTTTTCGTATCTTTTTGTTATGGCGTAATTTTGTTAAAATTTTCGTCGTGATCACTTCTGAAGTTGTTTCTTGTCTTCTACATCCGTGAATGAATTGATTGATGTTAAAGACAGCAGATGGGTCGTATACGCCGGGGAGGCTAGGCTATTGCTGAGAATGAAATGCACACGGAGATAATTGTTAGCTGCGGTCCGACACGCCGGGGAGAAAGAGTGTAAACGGCTGAGGCTCGCATACATCACCGTTACTAGAACTGAGGCTGAATGAGTGACAAGCGATTTCAGTGGTAATTGGTAATGAGTAGATAAGAGGATGTGCGTAGAGTATCGTGAGGTGCTGCCATGGTCACTTTGCATTCTGCAAGAGTCATTCTAGCAAGTGGCGATTGTGTTGCAAGATGTCAAGAGGAGGTCTCTGTCTGGAGGCGCAGGTCGTCAGCGATGTGTGAGATTGTTCTGTGGGTATGCTTGTGGTGTGTTGGCTTTTCTGTTTGTTTTCCATTTCAGCTCTGTCCGTGTGACCCAGGTTCTCGAAATGGCATCCAAGTCAACGTGTATTGGTCGTGAAGGAAAATAGGGTTGGATCCCTTTTTTGCCGGGGAGTGTCAATGGAGTTGAAGATTGAACGATCAATTCATGGTTGTTTGCTCAAAATCAACTTCCCCAATTTTCGCGGAGGCATCAAACGACAGTCATCGTCTCATCGGTCTCTGTGCAGAAAGATGTCAGCAGAAAACCTTCAGAAATCTTATTGTGATTTATTACTGTAATATTTGTTCACAGACCTTAGTCATACGTCATTTATATGTTGGTGTAACAATAAAGAATTCTCAAGCGGCCAATCGGTGTTTTGGTATTTTTAGTCTGTTATTTCTATGCCTTTCTGAGAAACGGCATCGACAGCTTGAGCCCGAGTGCAGCAGGATCTGGGTATTAACGGTTTATGTGATGTGGCTGACACTACAGAACTATATTAAAGCTGCTGTATGTATGCTGAGATTTTATAAGTCTTGCTTTTTTATTGATATCACAAGGCCATTAGCAATAAATTGTGCGGCATCAGTTAAGAAAATGTTGTTCTGTTTACTTATTCATTCAGAGATACAAAAGCTTTATGCCGAAGATGTTCGCCATACTCAAAGCGCTTTATAAAAGACAATTTAGCTGAGTGTCGGATTGTCGTCAACAAGCTAAATTTTCTAGAATATGTAATCAGTAAACGAAAACACCTAACATTTATGCGTCGGTAGCACAGTGGTTAGGACTCTCGCTGACCATGCACATGGTCCGGGTTTCGAGCCCACGCCGACGCACACCTGATATCTGTGGTCGGCCTGCAAAATTCGGGCTACCGATATCCATGCTGAAAATTCCATACTTGTTCCAAATTACAGTGTGGAATCAAGCTGTAATTAAGAAAAGTAATCGGGAAGTTAAGATGTTTACTTCAGACAGCGCATTGTGGATCTGCCACTGTTTAATCCGCTTGTGGACTTATTATTGAAAGGCATTTAACTCAATTTTGATGAAATCCTTCTTTTACAACCTACAGAGGGCTAAAACCTCAATCACTTGCTTTTCGGAAGCTTTTTGACCTGCATATATGCGTTCGCAACGTTGCATGTCATCCACTGCTTTAATAACATTGTGGAAGGCTTCCATCGCCAACTTAAACCTACGCCAACAACCGTGATCAATTGCAAATGGATAGATTGTTCATCAGCTGTCCAGCCAGTATTTACTACACCTTCAGCCTGGGACTATGCTTAACTTAGGCAAAACTGACTTAGGGAACCATACTTTGCTTGAAGGGAGGGCTAGTTGCTTGGGAAGTTAAAGAGCCAAGTGGTTCAGGCATGTGAACAACTCAAACTCATCTTGGATTCTTCTTTCCATTTACTAAGCGTTAAAATTAAGAGCAGGCTTCATCAAGGTCCTAGAGTTTTTGTCCATTCCTGCTCCCCGAGGTTTCACTAGTAATGGCCTCTATCGGTGCGTGGGCAAACTAAAGGGCATCGGTTAGTTTCACAGAAAGGTAACGCTAAAAGACCCTTGCTATGTTCCTCTTGAGTGATGAGACGAAATTATCACATGTGGTCAGCTGCTTGTATATACATGGAGAAGCTACTAAAAGAGTCAGATGGTGCTGTTTCTCCACCTGTTTTCAGGATGGTATTATGCGCGGGCAACGGTATTCCTAGTTTGTATTAACTTATTTAACCTATACTGCTCAACTTACTCACCTGTACTGATGGAAACCTGTAGGTGGAGTAGCCCTAAAGGCTTCCCGGTCATCATTTTTACTTAGGGTTAGACCAAGTAATAAATCAGTTTTGTCATGGTCGCACAAAATTCATGAATTCAGAACATTACGCAGTAAATGTTTCTGCCTCGGGACTAGCACCTTGAAAGCGGGACAGACAGCCTGAAGATTTACCACTCGCCTGTGAGACCGACTAGATTTAACCTACACAGCAGGAGTGATCAGCGATTTGTCACCACGTAAGTTCGTAAATTAGTGTCAGTGCGATTTTATCTATCCAGTTTGCCTGCAGTGAACGAGTTATTGAACCTTCAAAAACTCCTCGACCTTACCCAATGGAACTCAAGTGCTAGCAAACAAGTTTACTGGCTACCTGTTCGACGTTCACCAACATCAATACCATTCCGCTGGATCTATCCAGTTTTCCAATGACGATAAAATTGCTCTGACATCCTTGAATACGGAAATACCTTTGGAATCAAGAATAAGTCCACGATAAAGAGTCAACAAAAAATAAATGAACAGCACGCATGCACATGATGCTGAGACACACTGCTGCCCACTTGTAATGAAGGGCACAAAGAAGGTAACAACTCTACAGAACAGTGTTACTGATGGTTGCAGCGAGAGAATTTCTCTATTCCTTTCAACTGAAGAACTAATTTCTGTCAATAATGAGGCGAAAATAATTATAACCTCCTGACCTGTCCACACTTTTTTTGCTTTTTATTCCTTCATTTCCCCAGCCGGCTATAGAGCTTCAAGCTATAAACTTGAAGTTTCAGGAGCAGTGATGTTTAATTATACGGGACGGGATTGCTAGCCTCATTCCCAAACTTCCCTCTCTACCAGTCTTGTAAATGGTTAAGTGAGGTGAAGCAGTGCGTCTGCAGGGGATCGAACCTCGGACTATATGCGTGGTCGGCGAGCACTGTACCAATGTGCCACCGACGCCCCACCTATCCACACGGTATCACATATTAGACAAATTGTAGGCATGTAAGGCTGGAACTGTCTATCATAGCGCATGATGTCAACGTACTCGCTTTGAAGATACGAATAAAAGTACTTATAAACTGTTATACAGATTGTGAATCCTCCAAAAGTCACTCAGGGACTTGTTGTTTAAATGTTTCACAATCAGAGTTTAGGAAGGGTCATTTGCAGCGGGTCTTTATCTGCTTAGTCATGTCTTCAATTGGTAGTGGGGTTTGTTCTGTTGATATCACGAAGATACGTTTAGTATGACTTGACTGCATCTCAGTTTTCTCGTGGTGGAAATGTTTTTCAAATTGAGTACGCTTGTAAGGCAGTGGAGAACAGCGGGTAAGGGGCATTGGGGAAAATTTAATTACCTTTTAACGCAGCACAGCCATAGCCATTCGGGGTAAAGACTGTGTAGTTTTCGCGGTTGAAAATATTGTTACATCAAAGCTCTATGAACCTGGCTGTGTGAAGAGAATATACAACATCGATGGCCATATTGGTATGGTAAGCGAATAAGTGTATTATTTCGGCTTTAGGTTGTCATGGGATTCCAGACCGATGCTAAAGCCATTGTTGAGGCTGCAAGAGATGAATGTGCGAATTACCGTGACAGCTTCGGAAGTCGTATACCTTTATATGTAGATGTGGTTTATTTTAAAGTATATCTTTGTAGTCCTTGGCAGAGCGGCTGGCTATGTATATGCATGCACATACACTTTACAGTGCTGTAAGACCATTCGGTGTGTCAGTTCTACTTGGATCATACGAAGGTGATGGCCCTCACCTGTATGTTATCGAACCATCTGGTCTGTCTTTTGTAAGTAAATTACCAGGCTAATTAATCTGACTTTTTCATGAGCGTAGTTTTTGGTTCCAAGTAGACTGCTAACATATTACTATGTACCAGAATAGTTTGTGTAGCTAACTCAAAAATAATATTTTCTTGATTCATAGACTAAGTTATCAGCTTGTCGTCACTAGGTTGTGTTCAGTTTGATTTTGATTTATCTGTGAATGAAACAGCCTACAGTACCACTTACCTACGTATGTAGACTTTTCACACCACTGCCTTTCAATTAAGCCTTACAGTAATTTTGTTGATTTCTTGATGCAACAAAGTTTCATGTCAAAATGCGTCAGTGAAGTTGGCCAAAATGCGTAGACGTGGTCTATCAAAGTTAAATAAATGTGTAACGGTACTGCACTCAGCATAGTTTACTTACGACAAGCTATTCAAATAAAGATGAGTACTTTTTCGGTCAGTATATTTGACCATTTTACTCTATATATTATTTCGGTCTTTTTATGTAAGACAAGGACATGTTCGTAGATGAGTCGTCAGATAGCAAGAGATGGACAGTACACAACTATTTACTTTAATCTGTCGATCTAGTATGTTTTTTATCCAAATATTTGATGGGAATTATTTCTCTGAACTAACTGTTCGTCACAAAATGGTCAACTCTTCATGTAACTATTAATTTTGTAAGTATCGTACTATATTATTGGATTAATTAACGTTTGACTAGGAGACTTCTATTAAGACTTGTCTGATTCCTCGTTTCAGTATGTATTATGTGCACATCAGCGGACTCCTAGCGATGCAACCTGTAACCAAGTATTATTAACGGTGCATGAAATCTAGGTTTTACACAGTAACACATTGACGAATGTCCAGTAAATAAGTGTATTGGTTTCCCCCTAAATATTGTTTATTAATTGATGCAATTGTGTTATTTGAAGTATCAGAAGTTGCTTATTAGAGTATATTCGGTTTTATCAGTTAGCTTAAGGTGGTAGTGAATACTATCTATATTTTCATTTACATGCGTGAACTTGTCGTTTGTTTTGAATTTTTAATGTGTGTAAATATTTCACCTCATGTGTTAAAGGCCTATTTTGGTTGCGCTATCGGTAAAGCCAAACAAAATGCAACAACAGAAATAGAGAAGCTTAAAATAAACGACTTGTCTCCAGAAGAGCTAATTAAGGAAGCCGCCAAGATGTAAGTTTTTATGTAATGCCTTAGCATATATTTCTTTTTTTGTTCTGCTTATATGGATACTGTTTAGTTTTTGTGCTTCCACTTTTGTTAACCTTGGAAGGCGATTAAATGCGAAATAAACAGTCTAGAATGTAATCTGTTCGCATTTTGCGGTATCTATAATATTTAAATGTTTCACGTAATATATAAAGGTTTCCAGTGAACACCACTCATTGTTAGGTAGTCGTATACACTTGAGAAGTCCTAAGGAGGATGGGGCTTAACATCTACACCACTAAAAAGATGACAGTCGTCTTGGGGTCTTAGTGAACTCATTTAAATGGTCCCAATAGTAGTTTTTAATTTATAAGCACCTGGCTGCTGAATTTAATTACATTATTATGATATATCACTTCAGACTTTCATAGGTTCTGAACAAGTCAATCGTAAATTTCACGGTTTGTTACTAATAGTGAAGCGATCACCGACAAACGATTATTTCCATTGTACAACTTAGCATGGAGATCAAAACAGTAATTTAGAAAATGGAAAATATTGTCAAGGAAGCTACTCAAACAAAACAATGTAACTAAAGGTTGTAGAAGAAAAATGGCGAAACAAATTAAAAATAAGGCAATTTTCGCTACGCTGTATAACGTAGGCAACTGTTACCTCGTAAATTAGAGCCGAGAAAAATGTACTTTCCCACGTGGTGGGGCAATCATGATTAATGTATGTTTCAGGCGCCTAGAGCCGTGTTGGCTTTTAGTTTCAGTCTTTCTTAAGTTTCCATATTCACTTTCCACGTCTTCATACTGGTTTCACCGAATGTAGGTGATATTTTAAAAGCAACAATGGTTGCACTTTTGAATCCCCTACTATTAATTTCTTTTTTGTTGTATTATGCCAACTTGAACTTCTCTTGTGATTTGATGCAAGTAAACCATTCTATCAGATAAATATCTACTATCAGAATGTAGGAAAAGGTTGATAACCTTTACTGAAGGTCTCTTTCTTGACAAAGGGAATTGTGGATGCATACGCTAAAGACAAATTCGAAAGAGGTTGAAATGAATGTTAAGAAAATAAAATGTAAACTGTTGCAGAACAGTAATCCAAATAAGAATATGTATGATGGGCAAGTTAGGAACTCCAGACAATCCCTAACAGCCACATAAACATACTGAACTGCTGCATAGTATATTCGACATCGCATAAGAAACAAATACTACGACTAAATAGGGTACGTCTAGAAAGATATCTGGAAGCATTGTTGTTTTACTAAGTGATATACCCTACAAATAAACAATGGAATTACGATTTTATCATAGTGTGTGGTTATCACATAAATTTCGGCAGATTAGTATACACTAACGCACAAAATTCTTCACACATTTAGTGCTCTTTGAATTTGAATAAAGCAAGAACGAAACTTTATTCAGAATAAATTGGTTATTATTTTTTAAACTATTTTTCCATTGGGTTTCGAGTTTAACATAGGGCTTCAACAACATATCTCCACGTTGTCCCATATTCAACAGTCTTCTTTAGCTGGTCCCACGATTGCCCGTAGTCTCTAGTCTCTTCGTCGCACTATCTCCCCCATGTCACCCTCGAACGCTCCGCCATCGTTTCCCATTTGGGTTCCATTCCAGGGCCTGGCGCGCAATGTCATTCAACTGCTTCATCAGCACCTACCTGATTCATCTCCATTTTCTTCTGCATATTTGCTGAGCAATAGGTTCTTGGTTAGTTTGTTTCCCTAGTGTCTTGTTGCTAATTCTTTCTTTCTGATATTCAATATAGAGCTAAGACAGTTGTTGATAAACGTCTGCAAGTTGTTGGAAATGCTTCTCGTGACGTTTCAAACCCATACAAAAGAACTGGCTTAACGTTTGTGTTGAAAATCCAAATTCTGTTTTCATACTGAATGCAGATGATTTCCAAATTGGTTTCAGGGTGCCGAATGTGTATGTTGCATTCCGATTCTGGTTTTGACATCCTTATCCGTTCCATATATGGTTGAAAGGATTCTTCCCAGATAAGTGAGGGAAGTAATCTCTCTCAAAATTTCTTCCATTGATAGTGATTGGTGCCGGTTATTGTTGCTGTTGGTTAGTAATCTTCATCACCTACGTCTTTTCTATGTTCACCTAAAGTCCTGTCTCCGCTGCTTCTTCAGCCAGTTTGTTGGTTTTCGCTGTAAATCTTCAAGTTTGTGTGACACTAGACAATCGTCCACGAAGTCTAGATCCCATAGAATCTTTCTATCGACCCAAAGTATCCCTGTCTTCTCGTTCCCCACAGTTTGTTGTATGATTCAGTCCACCACAATCACGAGTATCATTTGTAATAGTAGGCAGCCTTGTCTTACTCCTGTATTCCCTTCGAACGCCTGGCTGAGTTTTCCGTTGTGGACCAGCCGACACGTTGTACTGTTGAATGAGGTTGACAGGCTTGAGGTACTCCACAGTGTTCAAGTAGTTTCTAAATTATTTCTCGGTCTACGCTGTCGAAGACCTTTGCCAAGTCGATGAAGTTGAGGTAGAGGTTTGACTGTCATTCTATGCTTTTTTCTACGATGATCATGCGTAGAGTTGCGATTCGATCAGCACATGACTTGCCTTTCCTGAATCCAGCCTCTTCCAGTTGGCGGAGTTCTGCATCCAGTGCATCTTCTATTCTTTCCAGGATGACGCGACTTGGTATTTTCCTTGGCGTGGACAGAGGCGTAATTCGCCCTTCGTTTCCAGTGCTTCTCAAGTCTTTCCATCGTAAATCGCTTGACATGTGGCATCATATACTGCTGAATGAGACAGATAAATATTCGGGGGATTTCATGGTATTGAAGTAATTTCTGAATCGCCTCATGGCTAAATCCGTTGAAGTCCTTCATAACGTTGAAGAGCCTGTGGAAGACATTCGATCATCAATCTCTGGTCTTTTTTTGGGGAGGGGGGGGATGCGCAACGCCGTTACTGGCACGCTGCAGCTTGTTGAAAGCGGAAGTTTGCTAGCATAGTACCATTTGGTCTCTTCAGGATGGTGTGGCTTAATATTTTGCTTTGGGTGGAAAAGAGTATGATTATGCGCCAGTCTTTGGGCAGGTAGGCCCACTTCATTCTTCTTAGTATTTTGACAACGCAACCCTTCCTCATTTCAGTAGGTACATCTCCTCTCCCAAATCTTTTGCGATGATGAAGTGAGTATATCCAGTGGGGTATGTGGGTCAGTTTTCATGGCTCCCGGACGAACTCCGTCTGCTCCTTTTGTCTTCTCGGCTTTCGATAACTTTATGACATTCAAGACTAATGCTTTAGTGGGGGGGGTTTGGTGTTCACTGGCATTTCTGGGACTGCTGGCGGTATTTGTGAATGTGTTGCAGGTGGTGTTCGAACTGGGAGTCCTTTGAAGTGATAAGCTATATGTATTTTCTTTTCCACCTCTCTGATAGTCATTTGTCCCTCATCATCTTACATTGGGTTCTCTTCTGTTGATCTTTTCTCGGATACAGACCTCGTTATTTGATAGCGTTATGAGATTTTTTTAACTGTGGACTGTTCTGAGTCAGTTTCCGGAGTGTTAAAAAATCACGGATTGATATCAGTTAGAGAACCATTGAAAACCAGGGAGTACTGGACAGCTGCTGTATCATCCTAGTTTGGGAATCATCGGCAGTACGCACCTACTGGGATTCGAACCCAGGACCTTCCGGTTACAAGGCAAGCTCGTATACCATTCGGCCACTGGGACCCGATTCAATGGCTCGTGAATTCTAACTTCTACCGATTCGTGATTTAGCGCGACCCCAACCATTGTCGTTGGTGGGACATCCATCCACACACGTGACATCTAATTGGACCTCACTGATCACGACTTCTCACTAGAACTCAGGAAACTCCAACCTGTAGCAAGTCACTAGCGATGATCAGATTAACTTGGGTGCGTACTGCCGATGATTCCCAAACTAGGATGAAACAGCAGCTGTCCAGTACTCCCTGCTTGTTTTCAATGGTTCTCTAACTGATATCAATCCGTGATCAACTCGTAAAACATAACTAATCCTTACAAACCAAACTATAGAAATGTTAAAAATCGTCTTTTGTCTTCCTTGACATTCTTCCTCACGCGTTTGTTCAGTGTTATGTGGAACGCATCTTCTTATGTTGTTCGTCTCTTCACTAGTTCATCTTTTCTCCCACAATACCTCTTTCCGTCATTGCTTTTCGTGTGTTTGTGAGCACTTAATAAAATACAAGTAAGCCGGATTTTATTTGGCGTGGACCAGGAGAACTATTCTGCACTAGTTCTTACAGAATAAGGCATAGGCCGCCTTTGGTTGATAGTTAGATAAAGTAGCCTTTCCTTCTGAGTTGGTGGCTCTCTTTCCTTTTATAATTTGCGGCAGTGGTGTGAGCGTTCCCGCCGTTTTCTATGACTCCGTTTTCAGTGCTTCAGGGGAATTCTTTCTGGTTCTGCTGCCTTCCGAGACCTTAGTAGCCCGATCGCACTCAATTTCTCAGCGTTTATTTAGAAGATTGTTTGCACCTTGCATTTGTGTGCCCAGTGTTGACGGTATTTCTCGATGAGTTGCACGTGATGGTCGACTCATAAGTCCTTCGAAGTGATCAGCCCATTGTTTTAATCGTCTCTCCTTCTTAGTAATTAGGTCTCCTTCAACATCTTTTATTGATTTCATCATCTGGGTTCATCTCTTCCCGGATAGAAACTTGGTTTTTTGATACAGTGTCCCGATGTCTCTTTTGCCTGCGGCCTGTCTGTTCTGCTTCACTTGCTGGCCAGTGTGTCGTAGAATTGTCGTTTGTCTTTCCTAGCACTCTTCCTCACTTCTTTATTCAGTGTGATGTACCTTGAGCTCTGCTTCTTCTGTTGTCCATCTCTGCATTGGTTCATCTTCTGTCTCACCATCCTACTCTCTTTCATTAGCTTGCATAGAGAGCCATTCTTTGTCGTGCCTCTTCTTCTTCCGTAGAACAAGTGTACACGTTTCCTTGAACATCACTTTCAGACAGTTCCAGTGTTCTCTCACACAGGTTTGTTCACTGGTGCCACGTAGTGTCTCTGAATTCGCCCTGATAGCTTACAGTAAAAGTGTATTTTGTAGTTTTGTTTTTCAGTTTCTGAGTGTTGAACCTAAGCTGTGGTATGTCTCCAGTTGTTTTGAAGGCTTGCGGCTTGACCTTCATGGTTCCATAACTTATATAATGGTCTGAGCCGACATCTGCTACCCTTCTTGACCTTGTGACCAACAGGCTATCTCCACTTTCCTGAGCGGCATTGATATGAGATCTGTCTGGTCTTTGTTGTGTCTGTCAGGAGAAATCCATGTTGTCTTGTGCCTATACTTGTGCTTATACACGCTGCCTTCGATGACCGTATCATCGAAGGCGCAAAATTCTGCGAAGTGTTCTCCGTTATCACTCATTTTTGAAAGCATCTTGACTTATGATGAGTTCTCTTCCTATGTTACCTGCTCCCAGTCTCTCACTTCATATCGCCCACAAGGGTTAATAATTTCTTTAGTCTGTACGCAGCTGATGAGAAGCCAGTAAAATAAATGATGCTACCATCTTATTCTGCTCACAGAATTTTCTTGCTTCAATTCAGATAAAACTCTCCCTTTTAGTAGAAAAATGCTGAGTTACTTTTTCTGCAAACTCGACTAGCGAACCAAAGGCTGCCTTACCTTTAGCTTCATTCTTAAAGTGCTACGTTACCTGGATCTGCGTACAAAATAATGACACTTGCGAAATTCTAAGCGATTCTCAAATTGGTAGGGGGGAGTGCGTCAAATCGTTGATACCTAGCACAACTATAGATTTTCTTTACACTAAATGTGGCACATTGTTTTTGGTTATCGTGATGTTTTTTTTCTCATCTCCCTAGAATTTATACTGTGCATGATGAAATCAAAGATAAAAATTTCGAACTGGACCTAAGTTGGGTTGGTGCTAGTAAGTTTCTCTCTTAAATTCTCCTAATTCACTTTTATGTTTAGATACACATGGTAAGCATCAATCTGTTTCTCGCAAACTGTTTGATGATGCAGAGACATTTGCGAAACAAGCTTTGGAAGAAGCTGACGATTTGGATGATGAAGTGGAATAAAAGCTGTACATCTATTTTTTTCTACCCAAAAAATGTTGTTGATATCACTCATCTTTTGTCTTTATTTCTGCTTATGGAACGTGTTTCTGAAAAGCTAATATTAAAAGGCGATACAACTAGTATGAAGGTGGATTTCTTAACAAAAACATCCTCCACACAGTCCCAGTTATTTAAAGTAAAAGATTTGCATGGTTTTTGACGAAGATGTTCTCACTAAAATTGGTATCAGTTGTCTGTTTTCAACAAATATTCCGCGTTTGTCAGCCATCTGTGAATTGAGAATCTAATGACGTAAACATATTTACAAACGTTTACCCTTCAAAGACCGCTGTTAGCTGTTAAATGTTATGTCGAAATAGCACTACTGTCATACTAATCAATATGACAATTAGAGCCAAGGAACTGTCTAAGAATTAACGGAGAATCTTCATCTGAAACGATAATCAATATTTTTCCGTGTCGGATACTTAATTTCACCATTCTTGTTTTATTTCAGTATAGATGTACTAATCCAAGTACTTCGGCTTATACTGGGTACCTTTGAAATTGACTGACCGCCACAAAAACGCCAGTGTGAGAAATACACTACGTGGGCTTTGCGGTGCTCTCTGACAAAGGCGCTGAAAAAATGGTATTGATGGTATTCTGAACACCCTGGACAAAGCTCTGAATGTTTTGCATATGTCGAACGTGGGATGATGCTACGGAGCGTGCGTATATGGAGAGAGTTTATATCTTTGTTTTCCCTGGGTTATAGCTGAGTGACAGCCGGTTCAGTGGAAAAATTTAACAGCATGGACCATGGTGAATAGATAGTAGTATTGTGGTGAGAGCAGACTGCTAGCCGATTGGCAGACATTAATTTACGTCAATGTATATGTCGCTAATATTGGTCGTGAGAAAATATGAACAAGACTTGATTGCTAAGATTTTTTCCGGAAGTGGTGTTATCTCGCTATTTCCCATCTTATGACCCAAAAGTGTAACTTTCTTCTTGGCAGTCTGAGATTTCTCTTCGTTGATGCGTAGACCGAATTCTTCGATGCGTCTTAGGACCACCTCTACATGCTCTACGTGGTCAGTCTCGCTCGTACTGTATATCACTAGATCATCTCCATAAACTTCGACGTTCCTCAAATTCTTCAGCAGCGACGTCATTAATCGTCTAAACGTGCCAATCCAAAAGGCATGCGTTTAAACCGATACTGTTTTTGTCCCACAAAGAACGCCGTCTTATCTCCATCTCTTCGTTTTATTGGCAGTTGCCAGTACCCCGATCACAGACCTAAGGCTGTGAACAGCTTCGCACTTTGTAAGTGATCCAAAGTCCCTGCTGTTGCTGGCATCGCGCACGGTCTCAGTTCTGTTATACTGTTCAATTATCGGAAATCAACACAAAAACTGTATTTCCCGTTGCTTTTCTTCACCAATAGCACTGGAGAACTATATGCACTGTCGGCTTCTTCAATATTGTCGTCCCTCAACATCTCTTCAACCTGTCTTGCAACCTCGCTTTCTAAGTGAAACGGGACTCTTCAGGTAACGCATGGTCTCACTTTTCCGCTTGTCACTGGAATTTCGTGTCTCACTTTATCGCAGTAACCGTACGGATCTCCCTCTCCAGTGAAAAGGTGGTCGTATTTGCTAAGTAACTTTGCTACACATAGGACTCCCGACGCCACAATCCCTGCTACCTCACTATTCTCGTGCACGCTGAAACAACTATACTTTGTAGCGACAACCCTTTTCTTCATATTAATCACTGCATCCACTTTTCGCAGAAAGTCTGCCCCAAGGATTGTTCGGCGCAATTCAGGTACGACCAGGAATGGGAACGTCACACTATCCTTCCTAATTCTAACTCTGCAGTCCGACACTCCCTCGACTCTTAATACGGGACCCCCCCCCCCACTGTCTGTACTGTCAACGAACACGGTCTTATATTCTCACATAGGCTCCTGTCTACGAGTGAGACTGCTGCCCTTGTGTCAATTAAACACGCCAATTCGCGGTCATTTACACATAACTTCGAGGATATCGCCCCCTTCCCCACTCCCTCTATTACCTCAAGTCTCGGAATACAGGAAGAAGACATGACATATCTTTTAAAACCTCTTTTTGTCGTCTCTCCGGGCAGCGACACTAATTGTAACGACAAAAGACAAGAGCCAGGCAACAGATCCTTTATTAAGGAAATCAACACGTATTTATGTTTCTCATGTACATTATTATAGCTTACTCTAGCAAACAACACAGTCTTCTGATTGGTTCATTCTCACAGAAAGTTGACTTTGCATTTCTTTGTGGCTGTTTCTTGAATGTTAGGTCAACTGTATCAGCTTATGCAAAGTCTGCTGTGATTGGTTGTTGAATCAGTCTTGTTCATATTTTCTCACGACCAATATTAGCGACATAAACATTGACGTAAATTAATGTCTACCAATCGGTTAGCAGCTTGCTCTCACCACAGTATGACTGAAATAGTTTAGACAACCGCGGTCTTACGTTTCATCAGAGTTGAGCAATCATTTTATCTGACAGTCATGACAATTTAATTACGGAAATCCAAACGCACAATCGCCACACCCTCAGATTAAGACGATTTACTTCACAAAACAGAAGAGAAGACTTAAATTCATACAATGTTTATTAAATTCATGTTTCTATTTTTTAAGTTGAATAATTGTACAAATGTGCTTTTACTCTATGCATACTCATTGTTCGCAAGATATTCCTGAAGCGTCGGAGCCAAAGGTAAAGTCTTAATAATATCATTGATTGGCCTTTTAGGTAAGGTACAGTGTTCTCTAGAATTTCTAAGATTGTTACGTACTACAATTTTCGACCACAGGGACAAACTTTTGGGCTGAGATAACCATTTGTTCAACCAGTCGTCCAAGTAGTTACGATGATCTACTGGTGTTATTGGTAATAACTGAGTGATACTTTGTGGTAATTTAACTGATCGATTGCTTTCAACGTAACATGAAATTAACATATTGAGAAGTGTAATTTTATCGTTAGTTGGTATAAAACGTGGCCAATCTTTTAGGTTGCTTAGGAACATAAGACCCATTCTAGCTGAGAAATTTACAATAAGATTCAACAAGGAATGATGACTAATTACATGAACTGTCGCTGTTATCAACACACTACAGTTAATATCCATGCAGTTTTTGTTATCATCGGATACGAATGGTAAAAAGTAATGATAAGCAATATACAAAAATAACTCATGACCAGGAATTATACTCGATGCTGGAAAGTATGACAGCAGTTGGAGAACCAATGTTTCATGATTTCTTGCACTAATCGGTTTTAATGCTGGACATTCAGAAAAGGAATGATTTAAAAATTCATCTATAGAGTTTTGAGTGTCAGACAAACAGAAAATTTTTGAATCATTGTATAAAACAGCACGTGAAATAACAAAGGTGAATATATTACGCCAAAAGAACTCAGAAACAGGTTTAGATTGTTTACCCTTGTGGACTTCGAGAAGTGTTCCCAATTTAAATTGTTGCTCATTAAAATTAGCCTTTAAACAAGCCTCATGCCACCATGTAGTCCAATCAGGATAGGGAAAACGTAGTGCTAAAACAGCAAAATATAGCACGAGCGGTAATAAAAACCTGTTATGGACTGTAGATTTAGGACTTCCATTAATATCTGCTAGATCCCAAATCAACTGCTTCTGTATGTCAGGTTGTTTAATAAAAATTTTCGGCAGTCCCCACTGCGAAAGGATTCTTAACCAGGCTCTAGCAGACACTGGGGGTATGTACAAACCCAGACTTTGTAAGCGGTGGACACAGCTGAAGTTTTGATTAAATGGAATAAGCTTCCTTAGAAAATATGAAGAAATAAGTAGTAAACAGTGAAATATTTCCTCTGAACAAATGGACCAACGCTCCACGGCATCCAACCCCAAGAATATTAGGAACTCCTCAATCCCTTTTGTTGACGGTTCCTTCTGTAAGAGACGTCAAAGAGAAGTATCACAGATTTACTTATACACACTAATCACAAGAGTTAATAATGTCAGCAGTCAGTAATAGACCTACCTCTGAGTTTACTTTATCACAAATGAAGGTCACATGCGTAACTGGTGAGGTAAATTAAGTGTATGATCTACTTATATATATATATATATATATATATATATATAAAAGTAGGTTATACACTTTTTGCTAGTTTGTGCACCTTATCTTCAATTCTAAGTTGTTCTACGAAACTAATACCAAGATGGTGAGTACTTACTTTATAAAATGTGTATATATAAGTATAACTGGAAATTGCTTATCTGATTAGTGTCTTTTATTAGGTTATTTTCATTGTGTTGGACTCATTGAAGCGTCTAGAAAGAACGCATCAAGATCTGTTTATCTTCAATCACTGGACATAATAGAATGATGATAGCCTGTTTATCTTCACCTTGTTAAAATGAATTATTCTCAGTCAACCATTATTACTATACAGAGTAACTGTTAGTCAACTTGGTCTTGAAACAGTTTGTTTGGAATAAGTTTCCCTTGATAATAAACGTGCTAATCACCTACCGTGTCTTTTGAAGTGTGAAGCTACCCAGTATGTAGATCCTTTCTTGAGATGTACTTGAAAAGTATCTCTTTTGGGTCACGGTCAATTTTAGGCGCCGTTTCAATGTCTGACATACAGTAAAATCTTATCGACGTATCGGTATTTTTAAGTATAGTGTCCCTTAGGTGCAATCAGGCATAGTATGCTTATGAACTCTAGAGTAGCCAATAATTCATATCCACCTTCCTTAAATACTTCTGCAAATAGCCCTCCCTCATCTTAAGTTATTCGTAATTCTCTCAACTCTGAAATTTTTTAACGAGAGGAGGTTACATTGCAGCTTCATTCGGAATGTAGGTAGAGAAAGTAGAAACTTTTCCAAAAAGTCAAATCTGTCACTGTGGTTACGTTTCCTGTGAGTGTACTACTGAAATCTCCAGTTAACCTTTTCTGAGTACCTGTTAGAAACATATTGGCAGTAATTCTGGCCCTTCAATAATCTTTTGTTGATCTGACGAAATCTCAGTACGGATACAGAGGGCTAGTTTCGCATATACCAGTTTACGCCGTCTCTGGCGTAGACGTGATATCCAGCTATCGACCAGAGGGTGGGTGTACTGCTCAGAAGTCCGCTCCGTCCTCCTTCATAGCTGTGATACCTGGCCATCGAAAGTGGAAGATATGAAAAGACTGGATAGCTGTCTTTGATCATAGGTGTCTGAGTTCTATCTCCCATGTGAAGTGATATAATAAGATGAGCAACATTGAGGTTAGGCGTCGAGTGATAGGTAAGGCAGGCAAAACAATCGACGAAGCTGTGAAACTACTCGACTTAGATGGTTAGGACATGTGTTACGCATGTCTAGCCATCACCTTCCTCGACGGGCAATGTTGGCTGACATAGGGTCAGGCTGGAAAAGAGCTAGCGGCGGTCAAACCAAAACATGGCTGCACCATTCAATGAAATCCACAACAGTTAGTTCATGCCACGTAGGAAGGTGTACATTTCCTGGTTGGGGTCTTCGGGATGGTAAAAACCAATGGACGGCGACAATTGGTGATGTGGCTCAAAATCGTTCTCAATGGCGCAGATGCATCCACTCCTTGTGACTTACGATTTCCAATGAAATTGTTTTGTTCTTCGTTATTACTATTTCTTTGTCTCACACCTCTGTTTACTGTCTCTATTATGCATTTCTTCTCTTGCTTTGTGTGCTACATGGTGTGGCGACTTGAACTGCTGCACATCGGTACAAAGTTCTATGTCGAAAACAGACAGACAGCAGCCAGAAGTGGGTTTCTTTCGACATGGAAGATAAGTCTCGTACTTCTATGATGTGACTAAGGGATTGCATTTCGATAGTCCATAATTAATAACACTAACACTTAGTAATCCTAAATACCTTCAATGAGTGAATAACTTTTAAAATCAGTATTTTATTTAAAACAAGTAGCCCCTTTAATTAATTTCTGAAACCACTAAATTAATTTGTCATTAAAAAATGGTACTGGTTTGACTTACTTCCAGGACAGTATCATATATTTCTTCGAAATCGTTCAAATGATAAGGTGCAGCATGGGCTTTCAATAGCTTGAAATAGGCCAAGGATATTGAGAGATCAGTATGTAAGGCTAGGCACCACAAACGATACTCACGCAAACGATCGAAACTAATTTCAAGTACATCCAAAACATGGGTAGTCAGCTAATTTATTTTTGATAATATATAAGTGGGTAAATACATACCTTTAAGTTACATTGGTTCAAAGCAGCCACGAGAGGTGGCACGTCATCCATACATCGGTAATCCGTTTGTGCTCCTGCATCCAACAATAAACTAAACGACTCATAATCACTATTTTCAATTGAAAGTGTAAGAGCATCTTTACCCTTAGGAAGGGGTATATGTAGTGAATTAATTTACCATGAAGTTTTTACGTCTAAATTCAGTAGTACGGTCAAGATCTTCTCGGGCCTGTAGTGCAGAAATGCATACTTTTACGCATTCTGGAGAGCCTGACATAACTGCAAAGTGCAGTGGCATATTACCCTACTAAATACCGGCTAATTTGTTAAACTTACATCAAAGTCTGGGAGATTTACTAAATTCGGATCGTCCTTTAAAATTCTTGAGAGTGATGCTGCATCACCGGATAATGCTATTCTGAAGACCATATGAGCGAATTCCATCACTGGGATACTATTCGATTTTTGATAGATTACATCAGATTGTTCAACAAAAGACGTAAAATGTGGATGAGTCTACTAGTGACTTCAGCATAGAGCAAACCTGAGAAGAAACAAAATAAAAATTAGATATCACCACTCAGATTGTTAATTAAAATGGTCACTTTTTTAAGATATAGCAACTGATGGTTTGACCATTTCGACTGCTCATAAGGAAGTGTCTAAGTCGTTCAACTAGTGTTTATTGGTCTTATTCGGGCTGTACTTCTCTGTTTCAGTTGCGAACTGTTATTTACATTTGATACTCAAGTTAAGGCTTTAAGTAGGTGAGATATGCCTGACTAACACATCAATGTAAAAATCCACAGACATGTATAAATTTAGAGTGCTACTCCTCGAAAAATCACATCAAGAAAAGATGATATCATCATGTACCTACATTAATGCGATAGAATAGTGGAATGAAAACTAATTGCTTTGAATCTTAAAGACAAGTGGTAAGTAAATTCCAGGCACACAAACAAAGGCTTCCAACCATCGTTTCTCAGGGCAATGAGGACACCTAAACAAGTAAACTACATGCCTAATACCAACGCTGAGAAAATTCATGAAACCTAGGAAATCTTCACCAGTACACCCATAATGAAATAAAGACATTAGTGACGAGTGATCAAAGTGAACAGCATTGGTTGTTGTCACTTATGGTAACAATTCCTTATAAATACGTAGACAGGTAAGTCCAAATGTTGTGGCTTGAATAGTATGATAGTTCTCTTTCCACAAACAACTTATCAATTTCCCAACTGACAAGTTCAAATACCATCCTCGGATGATGAAATTCAGCTAATACCGAAGGTTGATGGGCGCGTATTCTTCATCTGTTCCTGGAACCTGCATAACTCATCCTTTACAAGAAGTAGTTAAAATATGAGTAACACCAAGATTTTAGAAGCCGAATTAGTCACAGCTATCACAGAACAATTAGTTGCTGCTCCTATATATCGCCCAAAGGAATGACTGCTGTTACCGAGTGATGATATCATCTCTGTTTCGTCTTTTACCGTTGCAGGTAGTTGTTACGAAATATTTTACTTAAGATGATAGTATCCTAAATATCGAAATAACGCACTTGAAAGCCCTATCAGGTGACTATAGTCAAAATATATTTTGAATGCTTTAGCTGCGACTGCATTTCAATGAGTCGCAGGTTTTATGCTTCATAGCTCAAAGTAACACTGAAACGGATACTGAAAAAAATAAAGTTTCTGTTCACTTGTGTACTCTTAATAGCGTTCCAAATGTCTGGCAAATCCAACTAAGTATGGGTAGCTAACTTATGCTTACTACTCCACTATCTACCTTGAATAGTGACCTTGTTATAAACTAGTAAAAACCATCACACAATAATTTCATTTGATAACACAGTAGTACAGCATTATTTACTGATGTTTCAAGCACGACATATGGCATATAATCATGTCACCTTGATATGATTGAGGCAGTAAGGAGAGCAGTGTAAGGAGACAAACAAACGGAATAGGAAGCAAATAATTACGATGATAAATCGAAATTATGAAAGCAATAAATTACATAGATTTATGACGAGATTTACTAGATGACAACCTGAAAGATTAGAGAAATGCAGATTTGCGTTCTTCAAACAGATTGCTACACAATAAATTGTATCACGTTAGGGTGGTGAATAAGATTGTGACGACTGGGACGCATGCCAATGATACATTACCCGCGCAATGAGTGATCTTGTCCAATATGTCTAGGAGGCGTTTCTTCACTACGTGAAATATTTAAGTTACCGACAAGATACCCAATTGCGTGTAGTATAGGTTGAATACCATCCCATCACATCTTGCACAGCCACGAGTATTCTCACCTGAACCAACAATCGTTTTCCTTTATTCTGGCTCATCTTTTCGCATCATCAATTTATAGAGCTATAGAAGCCAAAACAGCTAATTTTGATAACCTTTAAATTGGATTTTGCACACTGGAGTGATTTTCTAACGCATGCTTCTACAGAGTCATACAAAAGTTGTCTATGCAACATAAAATGAGTGAGTTATCCATACACACGTGAACGATTTTACAGTGTGATACGTTGCTTGAGACGGAATTAAATGTATTTATGGAGCTTGGAAACATACATATGCAGTCCATATATGGACTGCAAAATTTACATGTTGTCACACAGTTTAACTATCCTGAGTTGAGAGTACTCCTTAAATGCGCGGATAATACTGAAAATACATTAAACTCCGTCCAACAATCTGTTTGCATTAATATCCTCTCCGATCTACAATGAATGCGCAGTTGCTTATATTTCTCTCACAGACAAAAATGAACGTTTGGAAGCACCCATGTGTACTTTTGGAAATAAAAATATGGAGGATTTCTACTATTTGCCCTAGATTTCCCACAAAATCATGATCATAATGTTAACCCAGCTAGCATTTTCTTCGGGCGCATTGCATAATTTTTGGGGCAAAAAACTTCGGGTAAATCTACTTACGTGGGACACTGTCCCGAAGTCTGCCCCAAAAAGTCTGCAGTGCGCCCGAAAAAACGTAGGGCGCATACACATACGTGGGACAGTATCCCTAAGTCTGTCTTCAACAGTGTGCAATGCGCCCTGAGTCTGCCCCAAAAAAATCTGCAATGGGCCCGAAATAAATGCTAGCTGGGTTCAGCAATAGAAATTAATTTTCTGTTTAGCACAGACTGTTTATGAACAAAACAGCGTTATTCTAATAATAAGTTTACATAACCAAGAACTGCGTAGAACAACTTGACAAAAGACAAATGCACAAACTGCTTGCGAAGATGCTAAGTACTTGAAGGTCACACATGATTGGTAGGTTTTCCTTTCAATATTCAATTTCCTGATTACGAGCTAGTATAAACCAGTGATTTCTTTGAGCTCGCTTCTTGATTGTGAGGTAGAGGTTCCAGATCTTCGGTGAGCTTCTGCGTAGTAAGTCCCGCCACTCGACTGCTTTAGCTCTGGTAGACTCCAGGAGGAGTGGTGCGGGGATTGGTCGAGATGTGGTTAGGACTGTATTGCTGCCGTGAATGGAGTTTGACCTAACTCCCGTTGGTCATTCGGTGTAGTCATAAAAGCAGAATAGTAATAATAATAATAGGTTGTAGTGTAGATAATATAGGTTGAGATAAGTGGAATAATAAAGGTGACCTAAGGAAAAGATAGAGTGAGAGAAGGCAGAATAGGTCGTGGGGATTTAGTTTGTACGCTTATCATTGACAGGTGGTTTCAAGTTTTATGAGGATAAGCCATTGAGACACAAACCTTGCATTTCTGCATGATTGTCTAGCTTCCGCTTAAAAATCTCCAGAGATGGCGCTGTAGTCACGGCCGCCGGTAAAGCGTTCCAGAGACGGCAAACACGAAGCGAAAAGAAATGTGATCGCACTCGAGTCTTTGGTCTCTGGTGTGCTATCCTTAGCGGGTTACCTCGTGGAAGCCTATAATCACTTAATGGCAGGATGCTTTTATTTGGGTGGGCCTGGTCATTTAGGATCTTGTAGACGGTGATGAGGTCTCCCCTGTGCCTACGGTAACTAAGTGTGAAAAGACCTAATTTCTTTAGTCTTTCCTCATATGATTTGTTGCGGAGGCCGATCACCCATTTTGTCGCTCGTCTCTGGACACTTTCTAGAATGTTAGCATCCCTTTTGAGTAGCGGAGGTGCAATGATATTATGCACCTCAAGGTGTGGCCTCACATATGCCTTGTATAGCCTTAAGAACAGTTCGGGAGTGAGAGCTCCCAGCTGCCTGTGCATAAAGTGTAATGTTGCGTAGGCTTTGGCGACGTCCCTCGAGTAATTTCCACTGGTGTCTAGCTTTTCTGTTAGAATAAGACCTAGATCACGCTCTGATGGAACACAACTCAAGTTCTGGCCACCAAGGGTGTAATTTACACTCTGTGACCTGCCGGAATGAAGTTGCACTACTTTGCACTTCTTTAGATTGAAAGGCATTCCGTTAGCCAAAGCCCAATTTCCCAGAGTTTGCAGGTCAGCCTGCAATCTATCTGAGTCTTCCGATGAGTTTATTGCTCTCCAAATCTTTACGTCGTCAGCGTAAAGAAGCGCAGAGCAGTTTAGTTGGGGGGCAGGTCATTGATAAAAATCAAAAACATCAACGGCCCTAGGATAGAACCCTGAGGAACCCCTGATGCCGAGGTGTGCCAGGATGATCGGATGCGGTTGACTTTGGTGCAGAATTCTCTCTCGCCTAAGTAATCTGTCAGCCATGCGAGAAGTGCTCCAGAAACACCCGCCTTGCTTATTTTGTGAAGGAGCAGACCATGGTGAACTGTGTCGAATGCTTTCGCAAAGTCGAGAAAGATCACGTGGGCTGGTACCTTTTTGTCCCAGGATAGTGTCCAATCGTTCCAGGCTAGTAGAAGATTCGTCACGCAGGATCTTCCCCTCCTGAAACCGTGCTGTGCTTCGTGAAGAAGGTTAGTCCCATCGAAGTATTTTCTCATGTGGTCGTCAATGAGACTTTCCAATATCTTCGATACCACTGGAAGTAGAGCAACTGGTCTGTAACTGGTCACATTCTGCCGGTCACCACCCTTGAAGATAGGGGATAGGATTGCACGTTTCCATTCACATGGAAGTTTCCCTACATCAAGGGAGTGTTGGAACAGATCACTTAGGGGTTGACAGAGACTTTCTGAACACTGCTTCAGGACAGATGGTCTGATGCCATCACAACCTGAGACTTTCCCGAAGCCAACCTTCCCAATTTTGCAAGTACCATAGCCGGGGTAATTTGAAATGTACCCAGCAGGTTTTCGTGTGTTGGTTTTGCGATGTAATCTGGATGTTCTGTGGGGGTAATATCCTCGTTACTATTTAGTTGCCTGTGAAAGGCTAGGCTGAATGTCTCTGCCATTTCAAGACTAGTAAGAGATTTCCCATCAGAACCCACTAGATTGCATGCTCCCTGGTTGGTCGGTTTTCTTTCGGCCATAAACCTGTATAGGCTTTTGGGGTTCACGAGAAGCTTATTGGCGAGGTCTCCCTGAAATGTCCTTCTATCGCTCCGGACTCGTATGTTACATCGATTCCTGAGTTCAAGGTACACTTCATATTCGGGTTGACTCTTCGATCGTCGCCACGCGAACCAGGCTTTTCGCTTTGCCTGCAGAAGGCGTTGTGTCCCCTTTTCAGCCATGATCGTTGCTTCCTAGCTTTTGGTGAGACTAAAGGAACAGTGTCTGAGACCGCCTGGTGAATGATCTCCTTTACCACTCTCCAGTGTTCTTCTACTGTTAGCTCTGTCCATTTTTTAGGCCAATTTGCTTCAGACAGAAGTCTTCGCATTTTGGTGTAGTTGGCTTTGTTATAACACAGATAGGGCTGTGTATTGTCCCACTGTAAGCGCTCGCGGAGGACTATGTCGAATACTATGACCGCGTGGTCACTACTACCTATGGGAGTCGTGATCTGAACGTTTTCCACTAGTAGCTGGTCACTAGTGAGCACGTAATCCAGTCTAGAAGACTTCCCATCAGGGCCCCATCTAGTATCCATCTTGACATTTTCAGTGAATCCAGCCTTCCTGATGGTATGCAGCAGATTTCGATCAAATCTATCATGGGCTTTTCCCGACACCAAGTTAAGAGATGGGGCATTGAAGTCACCAGCTATGACAATTTGATCATAACCCATGTCTTGAGTTGCTGAGATTGTATTTAGCAGTACCTGGTTGTGGTCTGCTCCACATGAAGGTGATCGATAAATGCTGCCCACTAGATATTTGCAGTACCCAACGGTGAAGTGGCACCATATGGAGTCAGGGAGCTCTGTGAGGGGAGGGTCCATCGCGTGAACACATCTGAGCTGTTTGTCGACGTATATGGCGACTCCACCTCCTTCTTTCAGGTCCCTATCTCGCCTGACTAGGACCATATCATTTATACTGACTTCGCTGTCTGCCACCGTAGGGGTTAGCCAGGTTTCCGTCAGTATTATGATTTTGGAGTTCAGTTGTGATTGTAGGTGTCTAAGTTCAGCTATTTTGCCTCTTAGCCCTCTCACATTACTATACAGGCAACTGGTAGTCAGTCTCACCACTTCCCCGTATTGGGGGGTAGTTGACTTGATATTGGCTATCGGTTGAGGAGTTATCCTACGAACTAGTTGGCCGATTCCCCAGGAACCGGCCTGTTGGCGTTTTTTTCTTCTAGTTCAGTTGGAGCACTCGGATGACACTGGCTATCATCGTCCGTGCTGCACCGCTGTAGTGTGACTAGGGGTTGAGGATTTTTTTTACTACGCTTTGTTCTCTCCTTTGAGTGCGAGGCCGGCTCTCGCAGCAGCGAATGTGTTTGCTGACCTTGTCCTTGGTCTCGTACCATCTATGGAGAGCGGTAGTCAACTGGTCTTGGGAGCTGAACTTGACAGCTAACAGACGTGGCGAGTTAATTGACATAAGATGAGTGGGTCGAGGCAGTCTATAAATAGAGACAGCCCCTGAACTTCCCAGGGCCATCTGGGATGCTAACCATCTCCATTGTTGTACATCATGACAATGCTTTTCGCAGGCGTTCCCAGTTACCAGTTCGGGAATGCCATGCACAACCATGGAGGCAGAAGGAATGAGCTCTGGCGACTCCCTCGCCATTTGTCTTTCCTTCCACGGCCTGTCTGGCTTAACACGTATGTTACAGGCCCTCCCTATAGAAAGGACTTGAGAAGCCAGTAACACTTTTTCAACATCCTCGGTAGAGCCCAATGTTACCCTCAGTGGGGATGGTTTGCCTTCAGGTGCAGCAGTGCCCCTATACAATCTGCATAGATTTACTGGTTGGATGTCCAAACCCAGTGTGCTACACAAGATGGACCACTGTTCCTGATCAAATAGGGCCCTATCTTTCAGCAGACTACTGCTACAGTCTGGGGATTACACAATTTGATCTGCTAACCGTGGGCTTGGGCTCGGTCCTCGCACGTTTGTGATCACCTTTAAGACCGTTTTGGTTTGACTGGTGCGACTGGGTATTTTTATGTGTCTCAGTGCTATGGCCAGCATTACTGGCAGACGGTTGGGGTCTTTTTCCAACGACGGAAACCCGTGGTTCTCCAGCCTCTGTGTCTGGAGCGGTTATGGCAAGAGTTACAAGTTTAACCGGTGAGGATTTTGGTATCCCCGGTTTACGCGCGTTTGTACTAACTTCCGGATTGGTGGGGGTCGAGCTTTTCACCTTTTTCCCCGCTACTTCTGTGCCATCTTTAGTTTTCAAAGGACTACGCGAGGCTACATCAGGACGGCAACTCGGGCATATGTACCAGAACCATTGGCATGGGTTTTTACGCATAAAGTCATAATATGCTTTTGGTACCCCACTGTCGCATCTGCAATGCACCCATCGGTTGCAAAAGTTACATTCGAAAGCAGAGTCTGCTTGTTCGACAACAGAAGCACAGACCTTGCAGTCGTCTGTCTTCTTGGGGAGCGTTCTTGTCGTCTTGCGACGTCGTGAACGTTTCTTTTTGGCCTTCCTATTTGTTTCATGGTCTACCATGGGGATGGGTGTTATGAAGTTCTCACTTAGTGCAATTTTCCCACTCGGATCTGTTAACCTAGTCGTGTTAACAGGGGTGGAGCCACATCCACTTGGCTGACTTTGCACAGCTTCACTGTAGGACTGTGGCGACATGGGTAATCTGTACGAGCTGGGAATATTAGCCCTGGTCTTCAGGACCGGTATGCGTGAGTCCATCACCTTCTCCTGTTTGCCTAGTTTGGCTGAAGCCCTGGTAACTACAGAGTATGATGTCCCATTACTTATTTTAGGTTGAGAATCTATTGTCATTTTACTCCTAAATTAATACTGGTGATTAAATAATAAGAGACTGTTATTTTG